GAGAGGAGACAGAGGCAGCAGAGAGACAGAAGAGGAGATACTAGAGAGACAGAGAGACAGAGAGAACAGAAGGATGACAGGAGAGACAGGAGAGACTTCTTTCAGAGAGGACAGAGGCAGACAGACGAGAGAGATCGAGGAGATCGAGGGGACGAGAGGAGAAGAGAAGAGGAATGACTGGAGAGAGAGAGAGAGAGAGAGAGAGAGAGAGAGAGAGAGAGAGTTTTTACACAAATAACACTTATTTTTCGTATTTATTCATAATCAGTTTGAGACGATCCTGTATGACAACCGACAAACAACGAAACCATTAAACCAAATAAATCCGAAATTAAAAATAGAATCTAGTGTGCGGGGGTAGTGATGACAGTGCGCCTTATAAGGTACAACACTTATTAACAGCGTCTTCTGATGCGTGAAATATACCTGAATTTTTCAACTTCATTAATAATGATAAGCTGGCGTGTTTTAAATTTTAAAAGCTTCATTATTATAGATTATGTGAGAGATCAGGAATGGGGCACACACACGGGCATATGCGGCGTTTTGGGGATATCATAAAAACGTTCCATCGCTATCAGTTGCTATTTTCACAGGGGGATCTCACATTGATAGATTTTTTATTTTTTTTATTTATTAAATTAATTATAATTAATTAATAATAACTAACTAATTATTTATTTTTTAAAGGGATTTCCGAATGCCATTCTCGATCGCCATAATTGATGAGAATGTTCATGCAGTGAGGAAGTATACTGTTGGGAACTTTACTATACCACATGTTCGCCAGACACTACAGTCACGAGTCCACCATAAAATATTTCAATACGTCTGTAAACCTGCAGGTACGTCGTGTGGCACGAAATTTAGGTCATTTCTCACCACCTTTGACTGTGCTATATCGCGCTCTATCATTGCGTGGGTCATAAACGCTGTTGTTTTTATTACTCTTCACTCACTTGCAGGCGATGTTTCATCATGTCCATCCGCCATTTTCTTATGATTTTTCATTCAAGTAGATAGCACGATTGGTGCAACGATATAAAAATTATAATATCAAGAGTCAGTCTATCGGTGAAATACCTAGCGCCTACCTAGCCTAGTGCTACTGGCGCAAACAATCGTAATAGAAACGAACGGTAAATGTACAAGCCCATGGGAGGTCTCGATAAAAAGACACATTTCAAGCAACGAAATTTCAATGCAGCAAGGGCTAAAAATTGAAAAATTACTTAACTGTCGGATGGAGCTAAACGCTGTAAAAACTAAAAGTCCATTATGTAAAAATAACACAACGAAGAAAAATTACGAAAAGAAACAAAAAAATGCATGTCACACGTGCGGCTGCGTGTCACTGACCTGCTGCATTGCTAACACGCAAACGCACCTTTCTCAGTCATTACGCCCACCCCAGTATTTACCACCACCCATGTACACGTCCGTTACAATCACCACGACTCACGCTCGAGTATATCGAATGTCTGTCATGTAGAATAATGCGCGATTACACACGCATTGCAGCAACGAGCTCCTGAGGCAGAGTTCAATAAGGCTTCAATAGTCCAATAGATTAGACGGCGCACCCCCGCGTGGAACATTTAGGGCGCTTTTGCTAAGTTGAGGAAAAAAGCTTGCCGGTGGTAGCTGAGTAGCTCCTCCCAATGCTTTGTTTGGAACCTTCACACGTCCTTCAGTGCGGGTCTTGTGTAAGCCTTAGATGATATATTGCTCTGCCTCCCTCTCTCTCTCTCTCTCTTTCTCCCACGCTCTCTCGCATTATATATATATATATGTTAGGTTGTATGCCTTAGTATATTTCTTAGACTTATGCAATGTCGTTATGCAGAGAAATGACTGATGTATGTGTAGCTTGTAGAAGCGGAGCAAGTGGCAGAGTATTGTGTAAATGGTTGGGGTTGCAGACAACTCAATTTTCCCATAATTGCCAATAACAGCATAACTGTGAACTTATTCGACACAGCTTCGCGCATCACTGCAGCTCGACTCGGTGAATCATTAGACACCTGCTCGCACATTACCCTCTTTAAGCTTACCAGACACAGATCGAATGCCTGCTGTGACCTGTGGTCCATAAAAAATTGCAATTTTCATCGCAAGCTAGACAACTCTCAGCAGGAAGTATCTCAGCATGCACAGATTCATGCATACGTAGATTAAACTCAAACATCTCTCGCGCATTCACTGCTTTCTCTATGCATCGGATCGCACCGGTGCTTCATCGCAGATCATGTGCACACCACAGCGGGTGATTTCAGTGTATCTTGTTCCGATTTTTCCTCGATTGCAAAAAGCAACCTGGAATCACGTGATGGCGCGCAACGTGAGCTTGCGCTCGCGATCGCTTCAGACCGACTTATGTGGGAGTCCTTATAGCTGTGCATTGTAGAACTGAACAGACGAAATAAGGTGGGCTGGCAGGCAGTAACTTCTCAACGCTGGAATAGTTAGTAAAAATTACTACTTGCAGCGCGTGGCCCGTAATCTGTAGAAGAGCACACATCATTCAATCGCATAAATTCGTCATGAATTATTGACAATTTAATTCGCAGGAACCGCGCGCGCAGCTATGCACTTCAGCGCGTATCGTCATGCCAGTCACACGTGTGCTACACGGCAGGGATTTGATTTCGACAATTATTCGATCAAACGAAACAAGTGAAATGCATTCGTACTGTGCGGAGTTGCAGCGTGGAGCTCTCAGACTGGCCAGCGAGACGGATCGGCACCAGCGAGTGACGAAAACAGAAATGCCATAGGAAAGCTGTTCTATTGCAGCTGATTCTGTCACAAATGCACTACACCTGTAGACATTTGCATTGTCACCGTGTGTGACATATATATGAAGCCACATTTACAACCGATTTTGCAACTGCACTGGCGCACAATCCCCCAGTCGATTTATTACTCATGCGCTGTAGGACAATACATGGAACAGATGGAATAGCACAGACACGGCATGAAACATTTTAATGATTTATAGATGGTGAGATGACAAGCTCGGATAAACAGTGGAGGTTCCAATCTAGGATGCTGTTTTCACTTTGTCCATAAAACTTTCACGCTTACAAATCGTCCCAGCAACTCTATCGTGTCTCCCTTTTAGCTCACATAAGATATCGAATTGCTAACAGATTATTAGGGAAGATGGCACCAGGAACTGGCCGCCCCCACCTCCGCCGACGACAACAACAACAACAACAACAACAACAACAGCAACAATATTAAGCCATCTTAAATCTGCCGACTGACAATCAGACATAACAAGACCATATTAAGATGACAGCGATCAGTCACGCTAGTGTCAGCATCACGTTGCAATTGCACCACAATAATAGGGCGATGGCATGACATATCTGACCTGAATTCTACTATAGCTCAACACACATATCAGGTACTAGCGGGATGCTATCATGCGTGTGAGAGAGAGCCAGATATGATGACAGGAGATGCGAAGCGAGGTTGAATGCTATTATAAGAAATTGCGCGAGATTACTAGATTCGCCAGCTTCCAGTTGCATGACTCAGAGATCGAATTTTACAACAGCATTGTGGCATAGTTGCCGCTCCCTTATTTGTTGTGGCATTCCTACCTCCCCTACCTGCTCTAGCTCTGTCCCCATCAGATACATGCAGCATACACATCCCTCTTTGTCCTGCATAAAGATCCTCATTAAAAACCTAAGTTGCCTCAATAATCCTTACTGGAAGGAAATGTTTGCCATTGCACCCATCAAACTTGCAATCAAATTTCCCATTAAACTGAAAGCAAAGCTTGTCTCGGCTTAAAAAAAATAAAATTTCACCTTTGATGATTCGGACACCTACCTTTGCACTGCCATCCTCTGCAATCAGTATATTTCGTGCAGCAAGGTCTCGATGTACTATGTTTTTTGATTCGAGGTATGCCATCCCTGAACATGCGTCACTAAAACACGAGAGCAAATTCAAAATTTATGTAACAAGAGTCATTGAAATTCATTCGCGCTAACTGCTTTTAATTTCCCAAATTTCTGTGTTTAACATTCCGAACACGCTTTGCTATTGTCGTCAAGTCCAGTGGGCGTCTGAAAATTCCAGTATTTCAAAAATCACAGCTTTTCATTCAAAACAATATGGTATATTCTGGCATAGAACGCTGGAAAGCACACACCTGCCGTAATTACTAATTGGTAAAAACAGCGCAAAACACTCATTTCATTAGGAGACCACTCAACAGAGCTTTGCAGCTGGTAATTTTTTTACACCAGCATTTAAACTTTAAATAAGGAAATGTTTGCAGTAGACATGTAAGCCTCGTTCACACGAGACCTCGTATTTATGAAATACGGTATTTGCGAAATACCGAATCTGATACAAATACGCGGCCGAGCGTTCACACGCTGATTTGCGGCTCCAGAAATACGGTATTTGCGAGCTGCGAGCTGCTTTCAACAATCAAGCGAACAATACGAAATAAACAATGCAATGCGCACCAACTGCCGATAAAGGGGTGCTCACACTAGGCGATTTTTCATGCGATCGAGCCGGCCGACCGAGCAGGCCGGCCCGATCGCATGAAAAATCGCGTAGTGTGTCCAGTGAGTCGCATCAATTTTCGAGTCGGCCGGCCGAGTCGCCCGATTCAAACATGTTTGATAATTATTTGAGCCGGCCGGCTGCAATCGCCTAGTGTGCCCGGGTCTGTGATTGAGCCGGCCGATTGTACAATTCATCAGCCAATCAGCGTGCTGAAAATCCACAGAGTCGCCTGACTCAGTCGCGTAGTGTGTCCACAGAGTCGCCTGACTCAGTCGCGTAGTGTGTCCACAGAGTCGCCTGACTCAGTCGCGTAGTGTGTCCACAGAGTCGCCCGACTGAGCCGGCCGACTCGATCGCATGAAAAATCGCGTAGTGTGTCCACAGCTTAAAATACGTAGACTGGTCCGCGCTCGACAGTTCCACTCGCGTTACACTGGAACTGTCGAGCGCCAACCAGTCTATAAAACTGGGAAGCCGCGTATTTACATCAAATACCGGATCTGTTTAGATACCGTATTTCTTTGAACCGCGCATTTTGCCTCGTGTGAACGCTAAATACCAGATTTCTTGCTACGTGCGAACGCGGCTGTAATTACAGGTATTTCATTCCTACAACACGTTGAAATTAATTACAGCCTTTAAAGCTTACACCTGATTAATCACACATTTGATTCACATTTAGACTATGCCTAACTAAATCCATTTGCTGTGCAGTGTATTTTTTAGTGTGGCTGGGTTTCAATGTGCACTGTGTTTGTGTAAGCACGTCCGACTTCATGCACGTGCGTGCACACGCAATGAAACATACACGCAGCCTACAGAGATAGTGATTGTGTTAAACAAAAAAAGACTGTTGTTCAATATTCACTAGAAAGGTGTTTTAAAACTATCGATATCATCATGGGAGAATCTGAACTCGCTGATTTTGAAACTTGGTGAAGTTCAATAACAAAAGTAAATGCTCGGCAATAATAGAAATATATACGTACGTACCATTTTTCATGCAATAAATATAACAATATACTCATAAATTTGAAAGTATTGGTCTTCTTTAACTAATGCACTAGGTTAAATAATAATAAGTTAACACTAGTCCAATTAACATATTCATGGTATTTGACAGTAACACATATCCAGAGAGACCGGGTACAAGATGGCGTTGCGCAAAAGATGCGTTGTTCCCCGACCGCCGAAAGCGGTTAAGCCGTGCACTTCCGCTGGGACTGGGCGCACGCGACCGCGGGGTGTTGTATGTAGCATCTCGCGCTCCCCGCTATACGAATTCGCGCGCCGAAGGAAGGCGGGCGCGCGAATGCGTATAGCAGGCAGCCTAACATCGCGCAGTTTTCGGGACACGTACATCGGCTCGGCTACATCGGCTTTCGAGGGGGGCCTTTCCGATTATAGATTGACACGCGTTTGTACATCCTCGCCGTCGTACCGTCACCTGCCGTATTTTCGTACCTTATCTGGCGTTCTCCCACTCTCTTTCTCTCTTTCTCGCACTTCCCACGGTCTGTCTCTCTCTCTCTCTCTCTCGCTCGCTCCGCCGCCACGGGTTAATAAGGTATCTATATACATGCATCAATGCTTCCGCAGCCAGGCACACAAGCATGCACTTGCAGCGTTTCAATAAAATGTAATGCTAAATAAATACAAAATCTATTTACTACGAAAGTCACCGCGGCGCAAAAACTCCCCGAGCCAGGTTTGTTGGATATAGCATTTCGACCGTGCCCGGCCGCCACGTGAGCGCGGGGGAGGAGGGAGGCTGGAATGTCGCGCTCCGCCGTCTTCTTAAAAACATATGCATATATATATTTGTGTGTCAGTGTGGCGGCGTATTGTAGGATTAGCTACGTGTAAAAACTGCCACGGCCACGCCAGCACGTGCTCGCACGACGTGCCGTCGCCACGGGCAGCGCGGGGTCAAGAGGTTGATAAAAACCTCGCACGTACGCAGCCAGGCGCCGTCACGGCGGCGACGCTTTTGGAGATAGCATCTAGACCGCGCCTGGGCAGCCCACGTTGGACGCGCGTACACGTCTTCGTTAAAACCTCTGTGATAGACGTAACGCTATACTCGGCAGAAGCGCACGTCATCGCGTAGCGGCCAATGAGCGAGCGCGTCATTGCTGATTGACAGCATTTCTTGTAGGAGCCACTACGTCTTAGCCATGAGGCGCCCACCCCCAAAAAGTTTAGGGGCGTTTGGAGATGGCCTCAAGCCGTCCATCCGAAATGTCCGTTGGATTGCGCCAGTTTTGCGGAGTGCGTTTCAGACCCTGTCTTCAGATATCTGTTAAGG